TTTTCGGGACGCGAGATGGGGGATTTCGGGATGGTGGGTTGGGTCGCTTTGTCGCTTTTTCGTAGGGAGATGGATGCTGTGGTTTGATGGAGGGAGAGGCCTGGATTCAATGCTGGTTTTGCTTTAGGGGAAGGGGGGGGCACGGGCATGGGCAGCGGCGGATAGATGGATGGATGGATGGATGGATGGATGGAGAGATAAGTAGATAAGTAGATAGATAGATAGATAGATAGATAGATAGATACCTAGATAGATAGATAGATACCTAGATAGATGTACTGTTAATTATAGCTCGCTTCCAGAGTTGCTTGCTTATCTATCGATCTATCTACCGGTACCCGCACGTCTTGCTTGCGTGCACCTCCTTCCGGATATGGAAAAGTCCACCGGGGAGCGCCAATGCACGCGTGTAGACTAGCGCCGCCCTCTGAACCAGCTTGGATTTCTCATCGCTCCGTCCGTTCCGAGCCAGAGTTCCGAGAGCGCTACGGTCGACGGAGTGGTGATACCTTTCGCAACAACGAGACGAGAGACCAACTCGAGTCTTCCCTTTTTTTTTTTTTCTTTTCCCCGAAGCCAGAGCGAACAGCCTCGGCATGTCAACATACCAACCAACATGCGCGTGTCCTGCGCTGACGAAAGCCAGACGGTCGCGGCGCCGGCCGTCACGTCGGAGTTGGGACGTACTCCGTACTGACCCTGCATAAGGGTACCAACCGTTTTCCCCCTTCCGTCCACGGCAGCACCCCAACCGAGCGAGCGGTACGGTAGGTACTATAGTACTATAGTACTACGTACTACGTACGTAGTAGCTGGGAGTCCCAAACTCTGTTCTTTTTTTATATTTATCCTTTTCCCCCTCCCTCTCCTCTGCGTGGCATTGAAAAATCCACGGCCGGGGGCTACCGTACGTACCACCAGGTATCCGTATGCCCGAGGGGGGTAAAATTAGAAAAAAGCGAAGCCGAGCAGGAGGCCCTCTCCTGAAAAATGTCAAATGTCAAATGTCAAATGTCAAATGTCAAAGGTCAAATGTCAAATGTCAAATGTCAAATGTAAATATAGACATAGACAGCTCCAGACCCATCCCATCGGATCGGATGCTGTGCGTTCGTGCTTGTATCATCTTATCCTGCTGCCTGTTCCGTGTGGGTACGCAAGACCGACAGGCCGGAAGTCGCAAGATGTACTGGTTAGTATATCTCTGACATCAGGCGGCGCCTCCTGCAGAACGGGGATACGGCTCTGCGCCATCTACGGTACCGGTATGTATCCGTCTCTCGATTTCTCGGCTCGCTATTAGTAGTCGCGTGCGTAGCTTGCTTAGCCACTACTAAAGCTTTTGTTGGTACAGTACGGAGTCGTGACCCGCATTTCTTGATCTCAGGGTCCGGCACACCAGGCCGCGACGGGCTCCGGAAACTGCCAAATGAGTTTAAGCAAATGCAAAAGCAGAGGCAGAGGCAGAGGCAAAAGCAGAGGCAGAGGCAAAGGCAAAGGCAAAACAAAAGTATGGTTCGCCGCAGCCCTGCATAAGGAAAAAAAAAAGAGTAGACCGTCAACAAACCAGGAAGACCCTTCCCCTCCTCCTCCGCATACTCGCCCAGACGCAGGGCCGGCTTAAACGATAACGTGGGGTAGGTAGCTCGACGTATCTTCTACTGTACCGTACCGTACTGTACTGTACTAAGTAGTAGTGTAGTATCTTATCCTCTCGCACCCTCTCAACCCTCTCAACCCTCCCACTCCGTCCCGCCCCAAGGAACCCAGCCAGCCAGCTAGCTAGCTAGCCAGCTGCCTTCCCACAACGACCGACTGCTGCGATCACTAACTGTACATACATACATACATACATACATACATACATACATACAACGTCTCTCTTCCAACCTCCCCAGGCTCCGTCCGCAGAAGCATGGTCACGGAACCAAAAAGACACAAAGAAAGAAAACCTAATTAATGAAATGGAAGAAAAAGAAAAAAGAAAAGAAAAAAGAAAAAGAAAAGAGAACAAACAGATCGAAAAGGCTTGTTCGCAGCCCGCTCGCTAACCATGTTTCTCTTTTTTCTTTTTTTCTTCTTCTTCTCTTCTTTTCCCCTTCTCCCGCCTCCTAAATATACCTACCTAGTACTACCTACATACGTACATGCGGACGAGCTTCGAGAAGAAGAAAGAAAGAAAAAAACCCGGCTTCTTCTGTTCTGACGCTGTAGGTAGGTACATACATAGTACAGTAGTACGTAAATGTAAATGTAGATGTGGATGTAGATCCCCCCCCCCGTCCTCCTCTTACAACCTCGGTCGACGTCCCGCCTGGGATGCGTCCCGTCGCGGATTGATGAACACGGGTTTCACACGTCGCTTTCTCAGCGATAAAATTTTTGGGGGGGAGGGAAATCAATCCATTGGTCCATTGGGGGGCAAAGATCATCATCATCATCATCGGAACCTTTTTTATTTCTTTTTGCGTAAAAAAATTTATGAAAAAAAAATATTATTATTACTACGTATGTGTTCTTTGTCTTTTTCTTTTTCTTTTTTTGCTTTTTTTTCCCCGGCTGAGCTACGGTAGCTGATCAGCCCATTCTGTCGGTCGGTCGAATGCTTGTTCCCGCACTTCGTATCTCTCTTTAGCCTCGGGTGGGTGGGGTGGATGGGGGAAGGGGGTTCGTTCTAAAACTCCCCGCTGCGCGACAGAGCTAGCTGGTGTGGTGTGGAATGGAATGGAATCACACGCATGCGTGACCTAAGTAAGTACCGGTAGTAGGTAGTAGGACTTGGAGGTGGCAAATCCGGATCCAAATATAGTACCGTACCGTAGTAGCTGAGGTGGTGTAGCTGTAGCTGTAGCTGTCCTGAAACAAGCCTCTTATGCTACCGTACTTATCAGAAGCAAGATGGGGTCGGTCGGTCGGTCGGTCGCTTTCACCGGTGACTGAGTGGGTAAAAAAAGAACCAGTCTAGGGAACTCCGGAGCCCGGGTTGTTGATGTCGTGAGTACAGCAAGGTTTTGGACGTGTTGGGTTATTATGGTGGCGATGGGTTTCTCTCTTTGAAGTCCTTTTTTTCTTTTTCTTTTTCTTTTTCTTTTTC